GGGTCTCTTCCAACCAGATGATTCCATGATCCTAAGCTGAGCGGAAAACAGCCAAGGAATGGGCTGGTCAGCAGCAGGACGGAGCTGGGCAGACTCCACCACTGATTCCATCGCGCCGATACTATGATCTTGCCACCACCTGCAAAGCTCTTGGGCAAAAGGATAATTGCTGGTTTGCATGACGGAGCGGGAGGTGCCCGCGGCTCCCAAAACCCTTTTTTCCCCAGTCGTGATGGGAAGGCTGACGTAAACGGAGCGCTCGCCCATCGGCTCTCCCGGAGGTCACGCGTAGGGTTGTGTCTTAAAGCACAGGAGCTTCTTCTGGGAAAGGGTGGAAGGAAACAGGCTCACTGGGCGCTTGCCAACTGCACCCTTTACCAAAAAAACATCTGTCAGGAAAGGCCAGCAGCCAGAGGAGCCGCACCAAAAGTCAAAGGAACACTTGGGAGGGATCTCCTGGGATTCCAAGAGCATTCCCTGCTGATTTCAGGCCGTGATTTCCATTATTTCATCATGGAACCCTCTTTATTTAAGTGAACCAGGTGGGCAGCACAGCAGCCACCACATCTGGGCCAGGCAGCTTTCCCCCACACTTGCAGACATGACTTTTTTCCCCTTTAAATTTAGCAAATATGAAAGATAAATTCCTGGCTGCCATGAAGGAAGGTCCAATAATTCCATCGTGAGCGAGCCTGCAGGAAAGGGGCCTCCTCGTTTAGTGATAGAACTTTTTTTTTTTAACCCAGGTTTTCAGCATCCACAAGGAAAACCAGATTCTCTAGAGACCGGCTCCCAGCGGCGCGAAGTAAAACCAGAGGAATATTAAAGATGAGAGGAAAGGGGGGAAAAAAATCCACAGAAAGAGGTGCCTACAAAGTTTTGGGCCTTTGCCTCCAAATCCAGCTCCTTAATGGAAGCTGAAGTATTCAGGAAAAGCCTGAACTCTCAATGTCACTAATGACTCTGCCCCGTGGTGTGGTCACCATCATCATCATCACACCCCGCGTCACTCAACCGGTCTGTGGGAAAGTTTCCTACTGGTCTCCAGCTGTACTTTGACCTTATGATGGGTTTGCAGGTCAGCTCCCAGACCTGTTCTCGACGCCCAGGACCCGCAGGATTATCGCGCCGAAGTGGGACGCAGACAGCTCCTACCGCACCCTCCTCTTCCTCGCACGCTCACCAGCGGCTACACCCTCCGATGCATAAGGCACAAAGTATTCCGCTGAGCAGAGTCCAAGTTTGCAGAAGGCTGAGGAACGAGGGTGGAGGAGGAATTACACCCGGGCATGCACAGGGAGGGGGGGGGAAAAAGAAAAAACCAACTCTGCAGTCTCAACTTTCTGTAGGTTGAGTCCAAAAAAAAAAAAAGGGATTTTCCCCGAGTTGAGCAATTCCCTCCCGTGCAAAGCACCTGCACGGAACCGACTGCGGCTTGTCTCCGACACCACCCTGCAGAGGAAGGGGAAAACTCGGGGGTTACGAGAGCCCCAAAGGCCACGATGAACTCCTGAGTCTCCCTGAACTTTCCACACCAGTTTCCTCCCCACAGACACCAGTCCCAACTCCCTGTCAAACCACAGCAGCTCTTCTGAGCCAAGCTGGAGAGGGACTTTATATGATGATAGGACATGGGGCAATGGCTTTAAACTGAAAGAGGGGAGATTTCCATGGGATCTAAGGAAGAAATTCTTCCCTCTGAGGGTGCTGAGGCACTGGAGCAGGTTGCCCAGAGAAGCTGTGGCTGCCCCATCCCTGGCAGTGTTCCAGGCCAGGTTGGATGGGGCTTTGGGCAACCTGGTGTAGTGGAGGGTGTCCCTGCCCATGGCAGGGGGGTTGGAACTAGATGGTCTTGAAGGTCCCTTCCAACCCAAACCATTCCAGGATTCTATGATTCTATAAGATGTCCCTGCCCATGGCAGGGGGGTTGGAACTGGATGATCTTTGAGCTCCCTTCCAACCCAAACCATTCTGGGATTCTAAGTCCCTTTTTTTTTTTTTCCTAGCTTAAGGCAGAAGACAGAGGCAAGCAGGACAAGCCAGGAGGGCAGACACCAAGAGGAACAAGACCTCCCAAAACAAGGAAACCCACCAAGTGTGAATTGCTTTTTCCTCCTTGGCCAGCATCCCCATCCCACCAACCCTCTTCCAGCTGGCATCATGAAGTCCCTTGAAACGAAGCAGTCCTGCTGACACCACAGGGTGACCCTCTGATGCTGTTCAGGAAGGAAAGAGGGAACAAAAAAACTTTTCCCTCCGCTGCAAACTGTGCAAAACACGTGAAGCAAACCGTTCTCCAGCCCCACCGACCCCCTGTGCCGCATCCCATCGGCTCTACGGCAGGCGGGACCCCCCCCCCGCAGAGACGGAGAGATTGGGAGGCAGGGAAGAAGGCATCACAGGAAAGGCAGGAACGGGCAGAAAACTCCAGTTTCGATGCTCACAAGTCGCAACAGAACCCGGCGAGGCGCCGTGCCCGCGAGCGGGGACATGCCAAGGCGCCCGCCGGCCCCCCCCCGTGCCCAGCCCCGCTCCGCCAGCGCCGATTCACGAGGGAGTGAATCTTTGTTTGCAGCTTCAAGGTTTCCCTGACGGAGCAAATTCTGCGCTTATCAGGAAAGATTTGCAAGCAAGGGGTTGTGACCGTAAGCCCGGAGCCGAGCTGGGCTGCAGAAGATGGGAGGGCATCGATTTATTTTGCTTTAAAAGTTGTTAGATTGTTAAAGCACAAGGCAAAAAGCAAATTCAAGAAATCGAATCGTGCTTCCAGCAGCCCGTCGCTCCACAACTGGGGCACCAGCCTCTGCTGCTGGATGCGCGGAACTGGGCAGGACAGCACGGGGCTGAATAAAATTAAGCATCCTGGAGGGGCAGAGCCTCCTCGCCAGTCACTTCCAGTTACTGGTTTGCCCCTGTTTGCGTTACAGACTGGAGCCACAGACAGACCAAGAGGCAGCGACACTCTGCTGGAGATCCCACCCCCATGGGGAGCAGCTCCAACCAAGTGTCCAGGGACATATTTACCGGAGCAGATTGAGACACGGTACTGAGCTGCTCCAAAAAAAAAAAAATCTGAACAGAGTTCAGTGCTTTGTTCCAGTAAACAGTGAGGAATTCGGATGCAACTCCCTCGTTCTTTCCCCATCACCTTGTACCCTCTGCCCCAAACCTCTCTCCACCCTTTAATGAAGGATGCACCAAGTGCTGCTTTTTGATGAAGGCCTGATCATAGCTCCGAATTCTGTGCTACCCTTCCATGGATGAAGCATACTGGAGTTGAGGACGTAAAAGAGCCTCTTCTTTGCCCAAAACACCTGCACTTACAGCAGTCAGATGTTACCACGCCATATTAGTAACTGGCCCCCTTGCCCCTGCTAACCAGAGGAGCAGCCACGTTGGAGAAGAAGAGACGCAGGACCTTGCCCTCCCCCCTGCCAGGTTCCTCCTCCTCTTCCTCTCCCCTCACGCAGAACATCGAAACCATCGAGTTCCTCAGCAGCCAAACCAAACCATCACCCCAGCAGCTTGAGAGACCAGGGAGGCAGAACACCACTTCCCAGTCCTCCCCGTCGTCTTGAGCACATTCACCCCACCCAACCCAGGACGGAGGATCAACACATCACTCTGACCAGAACAAGTGGACTTACTTAGGATAATAGTGACCGTCTTGACAAGGCTGATCATGGTCTCCTTGTAGCGGGGGTGGAAGCTGGTGTGCTTAGACATCCGTGTCATCTTCCTTTTGACGTAGATGAAGATGTGCGTGTACACGACCACCATGATCAGGAAGATGACCAGGTTGGAGATGGCCCAGAAGGTCAGGTAGCTCCTGCTGTAGAGCGGTGCCATGCTGGAGCACTTCTCCAGGGCACAGAGGCAGTGCCAGCCGTAGGACGGGATGAGCCCCAGGAGCAGGGCCGTGACCCAGATGCAGAAGATGAGGATCATCACACGCTGGTTGGACATTTTGCTGTGTAACTGCATAGTGAAAACAGTCTGGTGCCTTTCTACAGCGATGGCCAGCAGATTCACCACAGAGGCTGTCAAGCTGGTGTCCAGCAGGCTCTGACGGATGAACCAGGTCTTCAGGGAGAGCTCTGCTGTCCTGGGCCCCGTATGGAACATGAGGAACATGTACGCGATGCCCGCAAAGAGGTCAGCAGCTGCCAAGTTCCCCAGCAGGTAGTAGATGGGGTAGTGGAAACGCCGGTTGATGATGATAGCGGTGATGACCAGCAGGTTGGTCAGGAGCACGATGACACTCACTGTCAGGCCCAGGGCAACCACCAAGACATCCTTTGTCCTCCAGTAGGTGGTCAGCTCTTTGCGGCTGTTGTTGTAGAAGAATCCCACAGTCTCATTGTAAAAACAGTGCTTCATCGCTGCTCTCCTAAAGAGGGGCGAGAAGATGGTTAGCTTGTCGTGCCGTCACACACACGCACCACTAGTGCCAGCCAGGGAGATGCTGAGCCTTGTGCCAATGCCTCTGACACAGATGGAGGTGGGGAGGAGCTTGAAACACACAGAAACAACCACACGAGCAAGAGGAAACCACTTCGGTTCGAGACAGAACTACGCATCTCACAGCCCACGTCCTCATCTGTCCCCAAAGCCGTTCTGAAGACGCAGCAAAACATTGAACGTTCACAGGAGGAGAGAAGGTTTGCCAGATCTGATAAGAGATGCCCCCTGTCCGGCCCACGCAGCTTGGTGGGGATGACAGACAAAACTATTTTTCTTGGGCCAGATGTCCTACTTCAGAAACGTAAAAACAAAGCAGCAACAAGGGAAGTTTATCAGTCGGTCACTAAACAACGCTTGGGATGATGACTATGAGCCCCTGCAGCTGTTGCAGTCACAGCATCCCAGAACGTCAGGGATTGGAAGGGACCTCAAAGGGTCATCGAGTCCAATCCCCCTGCCGGAGCAGGACCACCTAGATCAGATCCCACCAGAACGCATCCAGGTGGGTTTGGAACATCTCCAGAGGAGGAGACTCCAACAACTGGAGTCCCCAGGACTGCTGCTTCTGGTTCAGCGAGCGCACATCTCCCATCTTGAGGCCCTGAGCAACCTGATCTAGTTGGAGATATCCCTGTTCCTTGCAGGGGGGTTGGACTAGATGACCTTTGAAGGTCCCTTCCAGCCCTAACCATTCTATGATTCTATGATCTTTCCTGGGTAGTTTTATCACCTCGAGGCTGACACCGCACAGCGCTTGCCCATCCTTCCAAAGCAGGTGAGTACTTCCCAAACTTTGCCAGGAGGCAAAGAGCACGTGGAGCTGGGCAAAACCAAACTCCTCAGCCCTGAAAAGTAAACCAGCAGCAGGGAGTCAGCGCGGGAAAGCGCAGGGATGGATCTCTGGAAGAGCTGGATCACCTGCAGCGCTTCCAGGCTCCGCAGCAGGTCGGGGTAAGTCACCTGTGCAACAAGGGAAGCAGCTCCTTTCCTTCCTTCCAGGTCTGGAACAAGGCTGCAAGTTAAAACTCGCTGAACTCCATAGAAAAACTTGAGAGGAAAAGACATCTAAGCCTCGGGAAGGACTTTTCCCATTTCTTTGACACACTGGGCGCTGCTGGGAGCAAGACCAGACATTGCATTTGTCCGGATCCTAATGGTAAGTATTAATTTTCCAGGCCCGTGTACATCTGGTGATCTGACTTCCTGCCCTGTGGGCAGCCAAACGCCAAGCAGAAGGTCAAGTTAAAGGCTGTTTTACCTCCAAGAGTCCGAATTTCAACCCAGTATCCGAAGCCTGTGTTACTGGTCCATAAAAAAAAAAAACAAAACATGAACACACGAAAATACAGCACCGTGAACAAACTCAAGGGATGACAAGGAGCTCGATGGTTACACCCCACAGCAGATGTTCGTGTTCCTTCCCTGACCAAGAGCTTGGAAACCTCGAGTCAGGGCTGGCTGCGGTCCCCGCCGGGATGAGCAAACCCAGTTTGGAGCCTCCTTCCCCGCGGCACCGAGGTGCTGAAAGATGACGTGCTTTTTCCTTCCCCTGGTGTGTTCTGCACATGAAGTCACTGGTTCTCCCTGCCCTCTCACGAGCTCCACCATCACCCTCGTTTTAGAGAAAGCTTAACGTGGACCAAAAGCTTAAGGGCCTGTTGTGATAGGACAAGGGGTAATGGTTTTAAAATAGAGGGAGGTAGATTCAGGTTGGATATTAGGAAAAAATTTTTTAGCATGAGAGTTGTAG